TTTTATTTTATTATTATTATTATTTTTGAGAGAGAGTCTCACTCTGTCACTCAGGCTGGGGTGCAGTGGTGTGATCTTGGCTCACTGTGACCTCTGCCTCCCAGGTTCAAGCAATTCTCCTGCCTCAGCCTGTCAAGTAGCTGGGACTACAGGAGTATTTTTTGTATTTTCAGTAAAGACAGCGTTTCACCATGTTGGCCAGGCTGGTCTCGGACTCCTGACCTCAAGTGATCCACCTGACTCAGCCTCCCAAAGTGCTGGGATTACAGGTGTGAGCCACCGTGCCCTGTCCCGGATGCCCTTTTATGTTTTGCACCCAGATTACCTCTCTTGCCTCACCTTAATCCCAGCCCACCTCCATCACCTTCTGGTTAGGAGCCAGAGGCATGGCCTCCAAGGCCTGCCCTTCCTTACATCACTTGCTTTTTCTCCTACAATTCACAGCATCTTTCTTTATATCCTAGTTCTTCCCAGTGCTTCTCAAACTTGAAGGTGCTTGACAGTCACCTGGAGGGCTTGTTCAAAGATGACTGCGCCTCATTCGCAGAGTTTCTGATTGAAGAAGTCTAAGATGGGAGCCAGGACATTGGATTTCTAACCATTACCAGCTGCGGCTGGTCCAGGGGACACACTGAAAAGCAAGCTGTTTGGAGCCCTACAATAAATAGTTTGGAGATCTTATCATATTTCACATTATTTTATCCTGAAATGTTTCCATTCATTTCATCCTCCTTCTACTTTGGGGAGGGGGAGAGGGGGAAGGTGAAAAGGTGGGGGAGGGGGGAAGGGGAGAAGGGGGGAGAGGGGGAAGGGGAAGGGGAGAAAGGGGGGAGAGGGGGAGGGTCCGAGGGGGAGAGGGGGGGGTGAGGGGGAGGGAGGGGGAAGAGGGGGAGGGGGAAGAGGGGAAGAGGGGGGGGGAAGGGGGGGGGGGGGGGGGAGGGGGGGGGGGGAGGGGGAGGAAGAGGGGGGGGGGGAGGAGGGGGGGAGGGGGAAGGGGAGGGAAGGAGAGAGGGGCGAGGGGATGGGGGGAGAGGGAGACAGGGAGGAGGATGAAGAGGGAGGAAGGGAAGAGGGGAGGGAGGAAGGGAGAAGAGGGGAGAGGAAGAGGGAGGAAGGGGAAGAGGGGGGAGTGGGAAGAGGAACAGAGGGACGGAGAGAGGGGATGGAGAGGACGGTGATGGAGAGGGAGGGTGATGGAAAGGGAGGGGAAAAGAGAGGGGGGAGGGGAAGAGGGGAGGGAAGAGGGGGAGGGGAAGGGAGTGGGAAGAGGGAGAGGGAAGAGGGGAAGAGGGAGGGAGTAAGAGGGGGAGGGGAGGGGAATAGGGAGGGGGTAAGAGGGGGGGAGGAAGGGGGAGAAAGGTAGAGGAGAGGTAGACAGAGGTGGAGATGAAGAGGGGTCAGAGCGGGAGAGGAGAGGCAGAGAGGAGAGGGAGAGGGGAAGGGAGATTGATTCCTCCAAGGCTATGACTGTCTCCTCTCAGTGTGCGTAGCCAGTGGAGCCAGCTGATAGAATGCCTAGAGAATGTATCTTGCAGAGGTCAGCCTTTGCAATAACAGACAGGAACAAAATAAAGAATATAAAACCAAACAGGCCAACAATCGCACTACTAGTCAATTAATTTCATGTAGAAAAAAAAAAATTACGCTAGTCTAAGTCATGTTTCTCCCCACTGAGGGGGAGGGGGAGGGGAATAGGGAGGGGGTAAGAGGGGGAGGGGAAGGGGGGGGAGAAAGGTAGAGGGAGAGGTAGACAGAGAGGTGGAGATGAAGAGGGGGTCAGAGCGGGAGAGAGGAGAGGCAGAGAGGAGAGGGAGAGGGGAAGGGAGATTGATTCCCTCCAAAGGCTATGACTGTCCTCTCAGTGTACGTAGCCAGGTGGAGGCCAGCTGATAGGAATGCCTAGAGAATGTATCTTGCAGAGGTCAGCCTTTGCAATAACAGACAGGAACCAAAATAAAAGAATATAAAACCAAACAGGCCAACAATCGGCACTACTAGTCAATTAATTTCATGTAGAAAAAAAAAATTACGCTAGTCTAAGTCATGTTTCTCACTTTAGACAGCAGACATAGTAATATATACAACAGAGAGTCAAAAGAGAGGCTATGTAAGAGTATGTAATTATCTCGGTGAAAATTCATCTAAAGTAAAGATAATCCATAACTAAATAGCCATTGTAGTCAGACGTAACACCTATAGACACCCAAATAATCGCAGGGGGTGTGTGGGGTGCGTGTGTGTGTGTGTGTGTGTGTGAGAGAGAGAGAGAGAGAAACAGAATATGTGCAGTTTCTGAACACAATCAGTAATTTGTCAAAGCCATTTTTTATCATTGCTTTTTTGTCTTTATATTAGACTATTTGATATAAGGTAAATAACCACTGTTAATATTTTTTAGTTCTCGAATTGTTACACAAATTAGAAAAGAGGGAAATAAGGCTTGGAAACAAATCTGGTCACACCAAAGATTGTATATAGTAAATACATAAAGAGAACTAGGTGTCTAACTCATCTCTACTAAATCAAATTCCCAATTCTTATTTAAATGCCCATTTTAAAAGGCTTTTGCATGAAACCTGAACCTATTTTTAAAGGCAATCTCATTGTATTTACTATGTTGAAATCCAGGGCCAAATAGTAAGAAAGCAGTGGAAAAAAAGAATCTACAAAGACCATTCAGGAATCATTTGGATGATGCAAAATTATAGATGTATGGCATTAAGAAGAAATTATCTAAATAAAGTTATTATAAGAAAAAGATTCAGGTGAAAAAGCCAATGATATTTTTAGGTAGTACATTACTTAGAACTAGTAAAATTTTTAATACTCAAAGCTAAGTAATCTTCTTTATGTTAAATTATCACATAATATTAAATACAATGTGGAAATCCTAAAATAGAACCTTATAATTTAAAAATACCAAAAGATAGGCTGACCAGGGTATTTTAACTACTTTTACAGATTGCTAATCAAGTGTCTATAAAGTTTCCATGTGACCAATTTCCATAAGCCAAATTAGACACTACCTGACTTTTCTCTTTAAAACTGTACATTCTCAGAAGCAAAAAGTCAACATAATTGAAATTTCTCAGCAAAATACAACTTGCATGCCTTGAATAAGAGGATAGTAGCTTTCAAAAATTAATAAAGTGAACTTTATTTATCTAGAATTTTATTAAACATGTATACTCAGGATGGGCATGTATTATATCCCTGAGCCCAGTGCACTGAAGTCAAATTCGAGAAACTACCATGATGGGAAAAAAGCAAAAAAAGACAAACAGCTCAGTTCTAAGACACAACTCTGAAGTATACATATAAATACTGCTCTCTGGGATCTTCTGTTTGCTTCATATTTTTGATAACTTTATCCAGGTCGTCAACATTTTTTCTATCCCCCCTCATTCCTTTGGCCATTCTTCCATAACCTCTCCTGTCCTCCCTAGACTCCAATATTCCCCAAGCTCACAATTTTTCTTTCTAGCCTTTATGTTCTTCCACAAACTGCCAGTGCTCTTCCACAGACCAAAGCTCCCTAACTAAAGATGGTTATTGATGTACAGTACCAGTGTTTTAGTGCAGGAGCAGAATCAATAAACGAGAAAATACTGCTTTGTCAGGCTTCCCCAAAGCATTCTGGGAAACTTTACTGCTTTGGGTGGTTACAGAAACTCTTAATATGGGAGAGTGAGAGCTGGGCTTTGTCCTGTGGTGAGAAATGATGTTCTTCTACCCTCTAGTGACTATAAAGGAATAAAGCAAACGTTGAAGGAATTTTTGAGATGACTCCATGCTATTATTTCTTGAATATTAATTTTATTACTAAAACGAATCAGAGTCTTGGGAACCAAGTGAACTCATACGGCAACAAAACACCTTATGAGAATTATTTTAAAGTGTTCAAAATGCAAAGGTATATATTTTAGTAAGTATGAGTCAGAACTTTGTTTCCTGCATATTTTCAAAAGCAAAATTTAAAGTTTGCTTTCTTCTTAAGTGACTAGTAAAAGTCAGTTTAAAATTCTCTCTCTCTCTCTCATGGTCTCTCTCATCCGCATCCAAACTCCAGCCTTTGAGCTGGAAGTGTCCCCAGTTTCAAACTCCTTATTATGTAGAGAAATAAGCAACTGAGGTACAGTGACATTAGAAATCAGACCTGGCATATTTGTATGCACATGTATGTGTGTGTGCAAATACAGGCATTCACTGAGATCATCTGTACATCTTCCGATCACACACACCACCACCACCACCACAATTCAGAAACTGAAGGAATAGTCTCAAAATTGCATCACTTCATAGGAATTATTTTGTTATTTCTCCTTACAAAGTAGCAGTGCTGCTAAATTAAGTTATAAATACATTTTTGTTGTGTTTATTTTTACACTAATTTTCACATTTAGTCATTTATGTTACAATTGGCTACTTTAATAACTTCATAAATTAATAATGCTTTCTTGTACCTTTTATAAATCAGACAGAATTGTATAATTGCTTAAAAAGATTCTAGCAATGTAAAAAATTAAAAAATCAGCAATTCATGAGAAAGCTTTAAAGGAAATTTTACCGAAAAGATATAAATGGCTTTTTCAAAAGACATTAAAGAGACTTAAAAAGTATACCACATATTTCTTCCAATCTTTACATTGCTCCTACAACACCGATGCTAGTTTCCATCTCATGGCAAATAACTTCCTAAAGGGACTAAATCTAACCATGCTAAACTCTAAATAATCCAAGCTTAATGAAGTGTAACACTCTAACATGGCCAGTACATATAAAATGTCACCACTAAAACAAGAGTCAGCTCAAACATCTGGCAACACCCTTATTAAATAAAATTTTTAAAGGAACGTTGTTTTCTTATTTGTAACAGCAGTAAGAGGAAAATAATTCTGTTCGACGTAAAGGCTGGGTAATATCTATCATGTAGTCATTTGTGTTTGCTACAAAGACAAAGTTTTTAATCAAATGATCTAAAGAAAAAAAAGTATATTTACCTTGCTGGCACTTAATCGCTTCCGATTTGACCAACGCTAAAGATTGTGTCCGTGGAATGGTGAAAATGGCAAAATAAAACAGAAGAAAATAGAATCATTATCAATGTAATTATATTATGTTAGATGGTCCAGGTTACATTCAGATAATTAATATTCAAGTTCTGAGGTTACAGAGAAAGCACATATGAGGAAGAAAATAGAAACAACATCAAAAATCACATGTATGTGTTGTGTTATATCATTTTCTCTAAATATTCAGTATGAAAAAGCAATGACATAAAAATGCTGTTCAATTTTTGGAAGTACATTTTTAAAAATTATCTTAAAACAACATATTTTTCTCTCTAAAAAAATAGAAAGGTTTCTTCTGCTTGAAATACTCAGATATTATAAAAATGTTTAAGAAATTCATGACTACTGATAGTTGATGTTTAGGTTTCCATAGTTTTAGATGCTAGAAAAAAATAATTCCATTTACTTTGAGTAAATCTCAGGATTCAAAACAATAGAAAAAATATGAATAAGTATTGCATAATTAAGAAAATGTGCTAATGCAGTATCTAAGGAAAAGGAAAAAAATTTCTAAATAGCAAGAAACTTCACCACTGTTCTCTTTCGATCTCTCTTCTGTCATGCTAAGGCTGCTGAATTTTGTCTACAAATTCTCTCCAAGCAAAACCCCCTCATTACTCCTATCACCATACAGTACTGCAAAGCTCTACTCTGGCTGGTTAACCAGCTAACTGTTTGTTACAACTTGGATCCATTTGGGAGATGACAACTCAGTTATAAACCTAATTGAGCAGATCACATTTACTATTTTTCTTAAGAAAAAAATACCTTTAGGTAAATGACCAGTCCACGTGGCCAATATGTCTTCCCAATACATTAGAAACCAGAAAATTAATAGTCTTCAGGGGAAATCCACTTACACTGCATTGACCAGCAACTAGAAATGTTGGTACAGAAATGACTGAAAAATATTCTTCATTAATTACATGTCCCCCAGTGAAATTGTGAGTTCAACATTCAGCATACAACACAGTTATAGGTACTATTATCTGGATATTAATATCGGGGGTTTTTTTTTTTTTTTTTTTTGTATTTTCCTGAAATAGTGACAGATATTTTCACCCAAACCAACCATCAAAATTAATTACCATCTTTTAGGTACACAGGACTGTTTAGGCCCTTTGACATACAGGAACTCATTTGATTTTTTTTAACAATTATATAAAACAAAGCATGTAAATAAATTAATGGAAAATGACTATTACTATTCACTTCCTACAATACTACCAAATACCATATATTGAGTGTCTCTACCCAATTCCAAGCACCATATTTGATAACTTTGATCTTCACAACCCTATAAAACACTCTTTTTATCCTTGTTTCACATATGAGGAAACTATCACTTAGAGAGATTAAATCTTTGAATTAACCAGACCACTGGTGGATCTAGGATTCAAACCCAGGCAGTCTGAGAACAGAGCCCAAAATTTTAGCTACTATATTTTTGCCTGTTTTTGCCATGAAAAAGAACACAGAGCATGTTTGTCAGCCTTCTAGCCAGTGTCTTCCCTTCTGCCTGCACCATTCTCATATACATTTAAGTCCCTGGACACGAGTAAATTCATAAACATTTTGCACATACTGAGATTTTTGTCAGCTTGGTTCTAAAGCAACAAAGGCTACCTCAAAGATGACTGGAAGAAAAACGGGTTAAAAAACTGAGACTTTAAACTGAAATCTCTCCACCAGAGTTTAAATTAAAATGGAAATTTATGAACAAATTATCTCACTTAAATAATCTATTGATTTCCAGTCCCAAATGCTAGTCATTCTCACTTAAGATCCCAATATAAAAAATCTCTTTAAATATTAACTCAAACTCAATGAAAAGAACAAAGATTCTGATAATCTATGTTACCCTAAGGGCTCCCAATATGCACCGTTAGCTGAATAATCACACATGGCCCAGAATAAATTATTCCTCAATTAATTTTCTTTGATCAAATATATAAATGGAAAAAACTATCAATCAGAAGAAAGTAGGCAGTTTTCTATATTTCCATTATATATATGTTACATATATGCATATTTATCTCCATATGTACATGTCTACAGGTATTCATATATGTGTGTATATGTATATGTATATATGGATCCATATATATGTGTATATAGGTGTGTATATACATGTATTCACATATATACACACACATATATATCTCCATATCCATAAATATGGATATAAAAATTCACAAAGGTAGCTATATGAATATGCAGCTATTTTCACGGAGAAATCAACTACCTTTACAAATCCAACTTGAATAAATATGGATACGGAGATAAATATATATGTGTGTGTGTATATATATGGAGATATATATGCGTTTATATATAAATATATATGCTTATATATGGGGATAAATATATATGTATGTGTATATATATGGAGATAAATGTATGTGTATATATGGAGATAAATACGTGTATATATGGAGATAAATATGTATTTGTGTATATACAAGATAAATATATGTGTGTGTGTAGATATATATGGGAATAAAAATATATTTGTGTGTGTATATATAATCAATATATTGTACACTAGGCTTCTGCCAGACAAAGACAAAAGAAAATAAGGAAGCACATGAGTGAGCGGACAGACATTCAAGTCTTCAACACGGGAGGTGGGGAGTCAGAGGAAACCAGGCCCACACTGAGAGGAAACTGTGGCTATTCTTAAGCCCTGAAAAGATAGTCTCTTTGAGATCTTTTACAAAAACAACTCCAAGCTGCGTCTAGTATTAACTGTTCTGCAATTTGAAATAAATTGAAACTAAAATGGCGTTATGTTAAAACTCCAAATTCTGACAATATTAAATATCTTTTAAGTGCCAATATTACTGCGAAACATAATCTAATGTGCTATAGAAAAATTCACAAAGGCAGTCATTTGAATATGCAGCTATTTTCACGGAGAAATCAACTACCTTTACAAACCCCACTTGAATATATAAGAAAATTTTTGAAGATATCAGCTGGCAAGTTGTCAACCATGTGACAAACAACTATGTACATTACATGCTATAACCTGGCCCCCAGCTCAAGTCACCGGTCACCTACTGTATCACTGACACTGAACCCAGAGTCACAGATGCAGCAGCAATGCTGTGAAGATGAAGAAGAAACTAAAGAAAATCCCTCCTTCTTTAGGTGGGGTGAGAAAAAATACTTTTATTTTCAACATTAATTTAAGACATTTTAACATTAAAATCTCTCTTTTATTGAGGTCCCAAGTGCCAACAGTGCCACTTTTGAAAAAGAATATAATAAAAGGAATTCAAATTAAAAATAGCAGATATTTAGTTGAATCTTTGAAAAGGCAACTGAAAAGGCACACTACAGTTTTCTTACTGCTTTAAACTATCTTCTACAAGTTTACTAGTAAATCAATCATGATTTCTATCACAAAAAACTACAACTAAAAGCATAAGTGATATCAAAAGAAAAATATTCTCCTCCCCTACCCCACTGCCTCAATTCAAGAAGCACTACTGGTGACCTAATTATAAATAGGCTTCATATTTTTATATTGGATTATAAACATGCTAAATGATAACACATCTTAAAAAACAGGTATTTTAATTGGCTTTAAAAATACTTTTCAAATAAGTCATAATCAAAGATGCTTTTGTTCTAATATAACCTTAGATATAATCCCAAATAAAACAAGATTATGATTTGTATCCACATTTTTGCTTATAAGAAGAGTCCCAATCATACTGTGACAAAATCTAATGCTTCACTTATGTAACAGACCTCTTTGATAGGTAATATATCAACTAGAAATTTGCAGGTACTAGACCAGAGAACATTAAAATTTGTATCTTCCCAAAAGAACTCCCAATGGAAAACTTGGTAGCTAAAAGGGAAAGAAGAAAGCAAAATGCTGCAAATGTAAGCCTGATCATCTTAATAACATAAAAGAAATAATTCCTTAACCAATTTCCTTTCCGGTTCCTCAAAAAGCATTGTATTAAAAAACAGATATTTTAAGACTCCATAAAATGTTGGACCCTCCTAAAATAATTGCAAATATATCAGTCATCTGCTAGCTATCAAGGGACAATTGCAATGAGCCACTTCAAAAGGACAAAATGAGCGGTTTCAAAAGAACAAAAGGTACCACTTACATGTCTCTTGAAATCACCCTGTTTTACCACTAGGTTCAAATTTAAGACGATCACTCCCATGTCATCTTCTAAACTGTTTGGATCTTCCAGTTTTAAAATATGTTCAGTTGTTCTACAACCAAAAAGCAAGAAACAACGCTACCACTTATTGACAGGACTATATTGACCTAAACGCAACAAGAGCTTATGGCAAAAGTCTCCTACCTCTGAATAAGGATTAGACACAATGTTAAGAAAGCACAAAATTTAGTGAAAATAAAACAGTTATATTCAGAGTAGAGAAACTGGCATTGCTTAATTCAACAGTTGGTTAAATGATCCCCCTCCCCTAACACCCAAATAAAATGTAAACACTTGTTTTAATTTTAAGTTATGTTAATGAAACTGAATACTAACAAATCAAAGTATGAAATTCAATATACACTTTAGAATGCATTATAAAATATTTAACATCTGACTAATATATTTGGCACCCAGAAAGCAAAAATCCTTAAAAATACACTGAGAGTTATAACACTTTAAAGCTCTCTTTCATTGGTTTAGATACGTTGTTTTTGTCATTTGACCTCAACAAGCACCACTTAACATTATCATGAGTTCCCTCTAAAATTCATCAATAACAATTAAAAAGTAAAAATACGGTACCTGTTAAGCTCAAGATCACTGAGAATTACAAATGCAGACCCCATGAAATCAGATGTGGTTAAATCTCGATCATACACCTACAAAGAGGACAGAGGTCAATTAACACATTATTATAGTAAACCAACCAAGTTTATCAAATTATTAACAAATGCAATAGGTTGGAAATTTTGAAATCAGTCTTTCAGATCTTGAAATACTTTGCATAGTATAGTTAAAGAGAAATTTAGTCAAGCCAACGCAGAGAACAAAATTATTCAATCTTGTCCATTTTGCCTGCTATGATCAAAATAACAGCAATAATTTCTTTTAAGGCAGTATTTATATCCATCGAAATGTTATGCACAATGGACCACTCTCTGTAGTTTAAATAGTCTGTCATTAAAATTTAGTATTTTCCACAGTGAGCAGATCTGCCAATTAAATAGAAATTTGCTAAATTTTCTATAGCAATCTCATCCTGCACTCAACTCATGCAGTTTTAACCCAGATGTTGTAGCAATTGATGCTTACAACTGGTGGCTTGAAGCTCTATTAAGTATAAAGATATTCCTAATGAGAAAGGCTTTAGTACTTGTCGCCACTGCAGTACCAGTAATAATTCTTCCACATTTGGTAGACTGAAATACAATCAATGTAGATATTATTTTCACTCTAATTTTCACTGGAGTGTATCTCATTGATTGAAGAGAAACATACAGTTTCAACAAATAGTATAAGGAATTTCTTCTATATTATTATTTTAATCTGTCCTAATAAAAGAATTAATTTGGCAAGTTCATGTCTAAGAGGACATGAGAAACTGCTGAGAAATGTTTGTAATAAAGGAGCATATTTGAAAGCCATCTGTGATTACCTTCACACGTAGCTTTTGATCAAGGCTTTGTATTGGCAATACCACTATCTCATCCCATACTGGGTTCAAGTTCTTATATATGACTTTACTTTTGTACAGCGTCTTCCCATTCAGCTTAAATTTCACATAAGGATCACTTGTGCCTTTAGAAGAAAAAGAAAACAAGACAGAATTTTAAAATACATGTAAAAGCCTGGGACCTTCACTAAATAAAGATCCTTTCCCCACTCCCCAGGCTAATGTCTCCCTGCACAGAGATTAAAGGCCTCGGAGGTGGAGGACAGAGGGAGATATGAAACAGTTTGGGATAAATGAATGATATTTTTTTTCCCTTTAGTGGTAGAATATAAACGGGCTCCTTGAGTAGTTTTTGTTTCGTTTCTTTGTTCGTAGGTCACCCCTATACTAGTCACAAAAATTCAAGAAGTAAAATCTACCAGCACCAGCTAACAGGGTCAGAAGTCCTAGGGAGAAACCCACCGCCTCGTAGGAACCGCAGCAAGTCAGTGCAAAGTGAAAGAAATCCGTTTCAAACATTTAGCCAGATGGCTGATTCAACAGAATCCTGTACTTGAAAATATAATCATAATAAATAAATCTCTGGAATCACTGGCTCAAAAGATGGCACGTTGGGGCTACAAGTGAAACTGCAGGCGTAGAGATTAAATTGACAAAGTTGCCATTCTTTGCTGCCTCCCCGCACCTGCACTAACGCAGCCAACATTGTCTGAGCCAGGCCAGCTGAACTCCACACCAGCCAGGCCCTCAGCTGGCCTCAGCACTGACACCGCTGACCTGCCCAGCTCCTCCCCGGGAGCTTTGAAACAGACGCCAAAAGAAATGAATAATGTCCCTCCAGTCACTCTGCCCAAAGCAAAAAGAAGGGCTGATGGCAGACCCTCCTCCACACTTTTCAGATCAATGCAAGTAAAAAAAAAAAAAAAATGCCTGCAAAACATAATACATGAATTATGTATTGTGCGTGTGTTACATGCGTGTGCGTCTCATGATACAACACTTGGAATACACTTGTTCATTACTACCTAGTAAGTGGTGGATGAAGAAGGCACAAACGAATGAGCAATCAATGAGGAGATAAATGAAGGCCAGCTGATAATGCTACAAAGAAAGAAAATCTAATTTGGGGAGTTATGATTCTATAGCTAATTTTGAAACACAGCAGTGAATAAGCATACAAAGACCAACAGCCCGGTCTGTTCACTGGGATCTCCCCTGTGCCTTGGACAGTACCCAAGACAGGCCCCCAGAATATTTATTGAAATGAAGTGCTGATATCAACATCAAGCCAATATAGTCTAGGAATATCACATCAAAAATTAATTAGGCTACTCTATCACAACATTTATCAAATCATTAATATCCATCATGCATTACACTTCATTCTTTTCTTTTTTCAGCTCCTTTTATTATTTCCATTTAACTCCAGTACTAAAAATTACTGAAAATGGAATGCACTACATTTCCCAGCTATTTGAACTGAAATTAACATCGCTAGGAAGTAAAATAGCAGCCATGGTTTAAAAGCCTTACTAGATTAAGTAAGGCACGATTTTGAGAAGTCAGCCTTGCAGTATTTCCAGGGTACTAACTTTAAACAAAAATTAAATTAGCTGCAAATATATACATATACATAGTCAAATCTCACATTTTAAGT